TTATGCTGAAAACTGGGATGGGGAAGGGTGTGACCAAGGTGTCCCAGAGAGAATGGTCCCTTCAGAAGTCCTCACTTTCCACCCAGCAACATCCACATTCAAGGCTCAATAGCACCATTTCCACCACTTCCAGTGGAATGACACCACACACTCCATGCTTTACCATCACATGGGCTGCTATCATCACAATCAACACACTTTTCATCCTCTGAGGTCCCCATTAGCAACTTTTCTTTCTCCCTGGCTCACCATTATCCATTCTTTTGTCAGACCAACTATTGTTCTCTCTCTCTGGCTCAATCTCCACCTATTGTTCACTACCTTCTCCCCTCCCTTCCTCCCTACCCCCAGTCTTCAGCGTAAATAACATCTTTTCCTAGCTACAATCAGTTCTGAAGAAAGGTCACTGGATCAGAAACATAGGATGTTTTCTCTCCACAGATGCTGCCAGACCTGCTGTGGTTCTCCAACAATTTCTGTTAATTTTCTGTAGGACACTCATGGTAGAAGACACCAGTAGCATACCAGAACTTCAAGAGAGTCAGGGAGCAGCAGTGACTGTAGTGGTCATCACTAAGGAGAAGGTGCTGGGGAAGCTGAAAGATCTGAAGGTGGATAAATCACACAGACTAGATGGACTACATTCCAGAGTTTTGAAGGAGATACCTGAGGAGATTGTGGAGGCATTTGTGGTGATATTTTAGGAACCATTGGAGTCAGAGAAAGTTGAAGAGGACTGGAAAATGTCTAATGGGACATGCTGTTTAAAGGGAGGGAGGCAGAAGACTGGGATTTATAGGCCAGTTAGCCTAACCTCAGTTGTTGATACAATTTTAGCATTCATTATTAAGGGTGAGATTATAGGGTGCTTGGAAGTGCATGGTAAAATAGGGCTGAGTCACCTTGGCTTTGTCAAGGGAAGGTCATGCCTGGCAAATCTGTTAGAATTCTTTGAGGAGGTAAAGTGCAAGTTAGACAAAGGAGAACCAGTGGTTATAATCTTTTTGGATTTCCAGACTTTGGCAAGGTGTTGTATAGTAGACTTCTAAATAAGGTGAGCCCATGGTGTTAGGTGCAAGGTACCAGCATGGATAAAAGATTAGTTGACTGGTAGAAGACAGAGAGTGGGGATGAAGGGGTCTATTTCTGGATGGCAGCTGGCGACTCGTGGAATTCCATAGGGATCCAAGTTGGGACCACAACTATTCATGTTATATCTTAGTGATCTGGATAAAGGAACTGAGGGAATTGTTGCTAGGTTTTCAGACCATACAAAGATAGTAGTGTTGAGGCAGCAGGGAAGCTGCAGAAGAACTTGGGCAAGGTAGAAGAATGGGCATAGAAGTGGCAGGTAGGATACAATGTGGGAAAGTGTGTGGTTATGCACTTTGGTAGGAAGAAGAGGCAATGGCTTTTTTCTAAATGGGGAAAGGCTTCGGGAGTCTGAAGCACAAAGGGACCTAGGAGTCCTAATTCAGGATTCTGTCAAGGTTAATATGCAGGTTCAATTGGCAGTTAGGAAGGCAAATGCAAGGTTAGCATTCATTTCAAGGGAGCTACAAGAGCAGAGATGTACTGCTGAGGCTGTATAAAGGTTCTAGTCAGACTGCATTTGGAATTTTGTGACCTATTTTGGGCCCATATTTAAGGAAGGATGTGCTGGCGTTGGTGTGAGTTCAGAGGAGGATTACAAGAATGATCCTGGGGATGAAGGGCTTGTTGTATGAGGAGCAGTTGAGGACTCTGGGTCTGTACTGAATGGTGAGTTGAGAAGGTGAGCAGGGGTGGAGAGGGGGATCTGACTGAAATTTACAGAATACTGAGAGTCCTTGATAAAGTGGAGGTAGAGAAGATGTTTCCACTAGTAGGAGAGACTGGGACCTGAAGGCATAGTCTCAGAGTGAGAGATGACCCTTTAAATCTGGAGATGAGCAGGAATTTCTTCAGTCAGAGGGTGGTGAATATGTGGGACTCACTGCAGCAGAAGGCAATGGAGGCCAAGTCATTGAATGTGTTTAAGACCACAATCGATAGGTTCTTGATTAATAAGGGGATGAAAGGTTATGAAGAGAAGGCAGGAGAATAAGGTTAAGAAACATATTAAATGTGATGAATAGCAGAGCAGACTTGATGGGCCAAATGGCCTTAATCTGCTCTTATATCTTAAGTTCTTATGGACATGGATTTGAACCCCAGGATGGCTGCTCATGTCATTTAAATTAAATAAAAATCTGGAATAAAATGCTAGCTTAATGTGACTATGTAACTACTACTGATTGTCATAAAAATACCATTTAGATCATCAATGTTCTTTCAGGAAAGAAAGCTGCATTCCTTACCTTGTCTCGGCTACATTTGATTCCAGACTCACTGCAATGAGAGTGACTCTTAACTGCCCTCTGGGAAATTTAGCTTAGCCAGCGATGCCCTCAACACACGGACAAATATATACATATAAAAATAAATGCCATTTCCATCATTGAAGTCTCCACCATCAACATCCTGAGTTTTGACAGCAGGTCAAAGGCTGGATATTTTTCAGCGAGTTCCTGACTTCCCCAAAACCTTTTCACCATCTACAAGGCCCACATTAGGACTATTGGGCTATTCTCCATTTGCTTGGTTAAGCTCAGCTCCAACAGCATACAATAATAACATTCAAGTTAAGACAGTCCACTTAATCAGAACCTTGTATACACCTTGAACAGTCACTCCTCCAACCACAGCATGTGTGGGCAATCTCCATGATGCACCATTGTAACTCACCAGGGCTACTTTGACAGTATCTTTCAACCTGTAGTCTCTATTGCCTAGAGGATAGGGGCAGCAGATGCATGAGGTCATCGCCACCTGTAACTTCCCTTCCAATTTACACCCTTCCTTGCTGGAATGATATCACCATTCCTTCACTATTGCTGGCCAAAATCCTGGAACTCGCTCCCTTACAGCAATAGAGACTATATGGAGTGCAGTCGATCAAGAAGGCCGCTCACTGCCAGCTTCTGAACAGATGGACAATAAATGCTAGCATTAGTTAGCGATAGGGGATTCCGTGTAAGAATGAACTAAACTCTCATCTACTTAACATCAGCTGAATATCACATTTTGAAGCTATTGAAACATAGATGTAAGGCTTGACTGTTGTGAGGATTGGAATGTTCTGGTTAATATGAGTATATGGTTGAGGTGTGAACACAATTTACGTCTCTTCAGGGAATTAATTTGACATGCAATGACATCACTGAGTAGCTGGGGGGGGGGGAACAGGAAGACAAAGGCAGGCGGCAGAAGCGGTAGCAAAATGTTGCGTGTTTTACACAGATACATAAACGGCGTTCGCATGTTTGCTTCTTCTGTAACATACATCGGCATAACATCATTACAGTTCCCCGATCATCTGCAATAGTTCCATCTTTAAGCAGAAAGAGCAGTCATTCGGGGACGATTCAGCTGAACACCGAAGAATGTACTGGGGTGTTGGTTTTGCATCGTCCAGATCATGCGTGGTTGATCTGAGCAGGAATCAGAGCTTTTCCCTGGGACTGTGCGGTTCTGACGATCACTATTCCTTTTATGGATACATAATCACTTTTCCTTTACAGGATTACTGTAGCATCATGTCAGGGCTGGGAGCGGAATCATGGTGGAAGAAAACGCTATGTCTAACCGGGGGAGCCCTGCTGGCAGCCGCTGCATACCTCTTACATGAATTGCTAGCAATCAGGTAATAGCTCACCGTCCATTCTTTGATGGTTACAGCCCGGTTGGGCACAAGGGCAGCTAACCGTAATTGACAAGTGATGTTGTCCATGAATTAGGAGAATGGCGATTGAGCAGAACGAATTGCAAAACCTATTTAAAATGAAAATACATTGACATGAAAGAGATGAAACATAATCAATCGGAAACGTTTTGATTTTTCATTAAGAATGGTTTCAAATTGTAAGTAGGCCACATACTGTCTCCTTCCCATCGGTTGACATAAATCAGGTCAGGTACGGACGCCTAGTTTTCTTAATGTAGGCATTCCTTAAATGCAAAGTTGAATGTATTTGTACGATGTAGTCTTGTTCTTGAATAACCAATACAGAATTTAAAAAAAAAAATTCGTGTAAATTGGACATTTCCTGATATATTTTACAATGCATAACGGCCTCTATTGATCCAACTTTAAGTCTCCAAAATCGATTTATTTCACTATTATATGCAATCCCTTCAAGATTTCATAACCCCCATAACATTTAACTAAGTAGCCTAACATGCGCGTGTCTATGCGTGTATGTGTCCGTTGTTGTGCGTACCTGTGCTGTGTGTACAAATAACGTATATATTCATTTATAAGACACGCAGATTGTGTTATTTATTCTTCGACCTAGTTTCCTTATGGGTCACAAATTAAACAACAAATGCATTTCTCACAAACACACTCCTTAACATAGTTTACATAACATATGAGATATTCAGGATTGTCTGTTCAAACCTGATCCGGTTGATTAATACCTTTAATAAGCAAGTTATTAGGAAGTTATTAGAAAGGGAAATTTTGCCGACAGCTTCTATCACTTATTTAATCTACCATAACTTGGTTATTTCAACAACCACCAGAAATCAAATAATGAACTGTTTACTCTATAGGCTGTACACTACAAGACCATAAAGAAGACAATGTAGGTCATTAGTACTGTTAGCACCAAGGAGAATCGGACGAGGTTTCTACCACTTACACAGGTTAGACAAAGTGACAGAATTATTAAACAAATGTACCATTTTTGAAGGACTCATGCATTAAAAGAAATCCCGTTTTACTTCCCTGATGCTGAAGGTTGTTCTAGTAGGTGCCTGGAAGTAGGAAAATACAGTTATAAACAGTGACAAAATACTGTACGTTTTAGGTGTACCAAATTCAGTTGAAAATAAATCTATTTCTAAAAGTTAAAAACTTTGATTAAAATCGATGGAATAATAATTTATAAGCAAAAAAGTGCTTTTTCGGAAGCAAACTGAGCAATGAAAGACAATCATTAGTGACATTTGATTCAAATTTTGGAAATCATTGTCGAGCTCTAGAAGACAGGTATTTTGACAAAATTATCCTCTTTTCAATTTTGTAACTTCTGTTAAGAAGCATATATCAATTACTCACATTATATGTGTTTCAAATTTGGTGAATAAAATCAACAATATTTCATTATGATAAATTATAATAATCATGTTTTTAATATTAATATTGCCATAAAAACAATAATAACTTAGATTTACCTAGCTTCTATAAGTATATGAAAGGGAAGAGAATAGCTCTAGTGAATATTGGTCCCTTGGATGAAGCTTGGGAGTTAATAGCGTGGAACACAGAAAGGGTGGAGTCACTAAATCAATATTTTGCTTCAGTTTTCATGATGGAGGACCATAGTACCATCTCAATAATTACAGGTAATGCAGAGGTTATGGAAAGAGAAGAACTTATAACAATAATAATCACAAAGGAAAATGTACTGAGCAAACTGATGGGATTGAAGGTACACAAGGGCCTGATGGCTTACATCCTAGGGTGGCAGCAGAAATAGTGGATCCATTAGTTATGATGTTCCAAGATTCCCTAGATGCAGGATATTATCAGATGTGGATAATGGGAATTCTTTGGATGTAGTATATCTGGACTTCTAGAAGGCATTTGATAGATGCTGTACAAAAGATTAATACACAAGGTAAGATTGCATAGGATAAAGGGAAATTTATTAGCGTGGATAAAGTCATAGAATCATAGTGCTATACAGCATGGAAACAGGTCCTTCGGTCTAACTCGTTCATGCCAACCAGATATCCTATATTAATCTAGTCCCATTTGCCAGCATTTGGCCTATATCCCTCTAAGCCCTTCCTATTCATGTACCCATCCGGATGCCTTTTAAATGTTGTAATTGTATCAGTCTCCGTCACTTCCTCTGGCAGCCCATTCCATTCACACACCACCCTCTGCTTGAAAAAGTGGCCCCTTAGATCCCTTTTAAATTTTTCCCCTCTCACACTTAACCTATGCCCTCTAGTTTTGGACTCCGCTACCCTGGGAAAAAGACCTTGGCTACTCACCCTATCTATGCACCTCATGATTTTATAAGCTTCTTTAAGGTCACCCCTCAGCTCTGACATTCCAGGGAAAATAGCCCCAGTCTATTAAACCTCTTCCAATAGCTGAAACCTTCCAACCCTGACAACATCCTTATAAGTCTTTTCTGAACCCTTTCAAGTTCACCACAGGATTGGCTAACCAACAGAAAGCAGAGACTCGGCATAAATGGGTCTTCCACTGATGGTCAAGATGTAACTAGTTCGGTGCCACGGGTTTCGGTCCTTGGCCCAACTTTTTTACAATCTATATTAATTACTTGAATGGAGGGATAGAAAGTACTTTAGTCAAATTTGCAGAAGATACTAAAATAGGTGGAAAAGTAAGTTGTAATGAAAAAATAAGAAATTTACAAGTGGATATGGATAGCTTATGTGAATGAGCCAAAATTTGGCAGATGAAGTTAACATGGGTCAGTTATCCATTTTGGTTGGAGGAATAGAAAGGCAACTTATTATCTAAATTGGGAGAAACTTCAGAGTGCTTTGGTGCAGAAGAATCTGTGTGTCCTTGTACTTGATTCGCAGAAAACAAGAATGCAGGGACAGCAGGTATGCAGACATAATAAAGAAGGTAAATGGAATTTTGGCATTTATTGCTAAAGGAAGACAATATAAAAGTAGGGAGGTGTAGCTGCAACTGTACAAGGCCTCAGTGAGGCCACATCTGAAATAGTGTGTACGGTTTTGGTCAAATTACTTGAGGAGGAATGTAATTGCACTGGAGGCATTTCAACAGCGGTTCACTAGATTGATTCCAGAGATGACGGTTTTGTCTTCTCAAGAGAAATTGAGCAGTTCAGGCCTACACTATCTGGCATTTAGAAGAATGGGAGGATATCTAATTGAGGTGTATAAGATGCTAAAGGGGATTGACAATGTAGACGTAGAGCAGATGTTTCCTCATGTGGGGCAGTCTAGATTGAGAGGTTTTAATTTTAGGATAAGGGGTAGCTGAGTTAAAACAGAGATGAGGAGAAATTACATCTCTCAAAGGCTCATGAATCTGTGGAACTCACAATCCCAGAGTGTGGTGATAATAGGACACTGAATAACTTTAAGAAGGAGATAGATAGATTTTTAATTAGTAATTGGTCGAAGGGTTATGCAGAGCGGGCTAATGCCAGGACGAGCTCAACTACCATCATATCAAATGTTGGAGCAGGCTTGAGGGGCTGGACTCTCTACTCCTGCTCCTAGTTCTCATGTTTTAACTTGACGAAGTGACCCTTAGAATGACTCCCTATTGTGTGGAAGCAGGCCATTCAGCCCATCAAGCCCACACTGACCTCTCAAAGAGCGTCCCTCCCAGACCCACCCCATTCCTGTAACCCTGCATTTCTCATGGCTAATCCACCTAAACTGCACATCTGGGACACTTTGGACAATTTAGCATGGCCAGTCCACCTAACCTGCACATCTTTGGACTGTGGGTGGAAACTAGAGCATCTGGCGGAAACCCACACAGACACGGGGAGAATGTGCAAAGTCCACACAGACATTCATCCTAGGTCGGAATCATACCTGGATCGCTGGTGCCATGAAACAGCAGTGCTATCCACTAAACTACCGTGCTGCCCTGAAGATCCAAGTCTCTTCACCAGAGCATTATAAAAAAAAGTACGACACCAACTGACATAAGGAGACATTAGATCAGATGGCCAAAGATTTTGTCAATGTGTTAGGTTTAAGGAGTGTTTCAATGAATAAAGGAGTTGGAGAGGTGGAGTACTGAGATGATGTAACAGAAGTGGAAATAGCCACTTTTCATGAAAAAGTTAATATGAGGTCCGAAGCTCATTCTGGGCTAGGTATGACACCAATCATTTAAACTGACTGGCTTTTCTGATGAAGGGTCTAGGCCCGAAACATCAGCCTTCCTGCTCCTATGATGCTGCTTGGCCTGCTGTGTTCATCCAGCTCTGCACGTTGTTGTCTTGGCTTAATCTCAGACTGCTGCCAGGGAGAGAGGTGGAATTGGTAACTAAAGATTGGCTGTTGGATCAGTAGATGAAAATAATGCAAAATCTATTAAAATTAAAAATTTTAAACAAATGCATTTTGCACAGCTCTGCATTATTTTCAATGTTTGTTGCATGGATAATTATTAATAGCTTTATAATTAGCATTGCCAGAGAAAGAACGTGCACTTATATAGCATTGTTCACAAGCTCAGGGAATCAAAAATACTTCCCAGCAAATAAAGTATATTTGAAGTGCACACATTCCGAAAATGTAAAGAATTACAAAAATGGAAAACAGTAACAAATTTCTCGAAGCAATCATGCTTAAGTGAATGGAGTGGATAAACATAAGCACAGAGTTTATCTTTCTACAAAACTCACATGAGATAAACTGATTATTGGCTGCATTACTAAGAAATTCAAAAATTACAAACCTCTTTTTCCACATTTTGTGTCATTACCAAGGAGGTTGTTCCTCAACATCTAACATCTCGAAAAATATAGAACTCAAACATGTTTATGTTTATAGCTGAACAACTCATAATGTTTTAGATTAATCTAGGTTCTTCTCTCACTGTGCTGCAAATATTGCTGCTAGCCACCAGTGCTCCCAATAACCAGACTGATTTCTAAGACTGAAGCTCTTCTGATCATAGCTCTGTCTTCAACAGAGTTCAGGTTTTATCATATCCATTAACAATTAATAATTTACCTTCAGATGTATTAAAAATGTTAATGGTAGTGTTCTTTCAGCAAGTAACTTGTGTTTTTCTTTCAGAAAGGAACAAAAACTTGATTCAAAAGATGCAATTATTCTGCATCAGTTTTCACGACCTGAGTGTGAGGTACCTAGTCTGTCTCCTTTTTGCTTGAAGATGGAAACGTATCTTCGAATGGCAGACTTGCCATACCAGGTTGCTAAAATTTCAGTTAATTGTATGATTACTGGTCAAAATGCATGCAATGTTGCTTGTGGCTGAGCTTTTTAAAATTGCCATATTTCATGGTACATTTTAGTGGTTGATCTTCTTCTTGTTAGCCTCCAAGACCACCTTAATATATTGGATGGAAAAGGCCTGATTGAGTTGACAGTTTCAGTATTCCAACATTATTACCCTTGAACATAAATTTCCTGAGCCATTTCTGTTTCCTACATTCAAGCATTATAACCTTTTGTTGGTAGCAACATCTACAGCTCTTACATTAGCAAAACGTTTGGCCATACAAAGTAGTAGTAGAGGTGAGAAATATTCAAGAAAAATTATTTAAAGAAAAGCCATGTATTCTTGTATATTTAAATAAAAGTCTTAATTTTGTAATTGAATTTATTCTGCATTACATTTTAATTTAAAGAAGAAGCTTATAGCCAAATTAGTTTGAATGTATAAATAGATGTTCATAATACCAAATAAGTAATGGACACTAGCTAATAACTGTGTACAACATATTTTATGATTCATGGCTCATGCCTCAGTTACTTTGCATGATGTAGGATCCTTTTTTAAGAGCTGCGTGCCAAGACATATCTCTGCACATTTATTGCTGAGTGGATGCAGAGTTCTATTCAATATTGATCAAAATTCATTGCTTATAAAAAAGGCAACAGATGTATAACTTTGCAGCAGCCTCATAGAAACTGATAATAAGAGATTTCCTCCCCTCATCATTGATCTTTTCATTGAGAATTCAAGAAAAGGGCCAAGATCTGTAATGTGTGATACTCTAAAGTTGGGAAAGGTGAAACAGATGATTAGATGGTTCAGGGAATAGGTGTCTAGATTTTTAAACCCTGGAATAAAAACAAAGAGTGCTGGATGAACTCAGCAGGTGTGGCAGAATCTCTCTCCATAGATGCTGTCAGACCTGCTGAGTTTCTCCAATGTGCTTTTTTTTAATCAGATTTGCAGCATTTGTAGTATTTTGTTTTTTTAAAACGCTCGGCTGGCAAGACAGAAAGATAAGGCATTCATGTTTACAGTCCTAGTAAAAGACAAATATGAGTTGAAGACTGAATATTAATTTAAATTTTGATTGAATAGTGGAAATATATGGTTTAATATGTATTAACCAAACATATCCAAACCACTGGTTCCATTCTTCTCCATGGCTGTTTTCTCAGGTATCCAACTTGACTTCTATGTTGATAGCTTTGCCTGTCTTTGTTCTTCCCTCTGTGACCAGTGTACAGCTAACTTTCAAAGCATATAAATGTAGCACTTTAGCACCAAGTGTGGCTGAAATGGAGTGCAGTGAGTTTGATGAGTTGAGGAAGATGGGGAAGGTGGTGCTTTTTTTTAACCTTTTAGGAATTGATTCTTATTCTTATCCTTGTGTATCCAATTTATGGCACAGAAGAAGGAACTGACTGCTAAGTAAGGGTGAATGATTCTTCATTCCACCCTTAAATCTTCAGTTTATAATAAATTGGACGAAAGTAAGCTTAAGGTGTGGCAAGACAGTTTGACCACATAGAATGCCCATCTTGTGGTAAGTGGAAAGTTGTGGATACTTCACATCATTGAGATGAACAAATGTGCAGGAAGTGTCACCAGCTGCGGAAACAGTTTTCTGTTCTTGATACTGGTGAGAGCAATGATGTCTCAGAAGAGTGCAGCAAGAAGTAAACCTGTGGCATTGTGCATGGCCTGGCTCTGTAGGGAAAAAGGGAAAACAGTGGAAGTGCAGAAGCGAAAGTGGTTTCATTAGTTAGTGGAACGGTATTTCTGCAGCTGTAGTTGACTTCAGGATGGTATGTCACTTTCCTGGTGTGAAGACCAAAGATGTCACCAAATGGCTGCTGGATGTTTTTTATGGGTGGGTCATCAGATCTGTGTTGGTCAGCAGGGATGTGGGACAAAGAGAGGATATCATAGTGGAATACCAAGGTGCGCAAATTATTTGGAGAGACATTACTCATAGAATAGGGAATATGTTAAAAAGTGGTGTCAGAATAAGGCAGGAATTAAAACAATCTAAACCATGATTTCAGTGCATGTATGTGGATGCACAGAGTGTAGTAAATATGACTGGGTGCCTTAAAGATGCAGATTGCTATTTGGAAATGTTAGTTTGTGATGTAGCAGAGACCTGGTTCAAGGAAGAGCAGGAACAATTTACTGCAGATGCTGGAATCTGTACTGCAAACAAAAAATACTGGAAATCACAGTGGGTCAGGCAGCATCCATGGAGAGAGAGCAAGCTAACATTTTGAGTCTAGATGACCCTTCATCAGGGCTCCAATGAAGAGAAGTCTAGACTCAAAACTTTAGCTGGCTCCATCTCCTTGGATGTTGCCTGACCCGCTGTGATTTCCAGCATTTTTTGTTTTCAGTCAAAGGAGAGCAGGACTAAGCATGAAATATTCCTGTATTTAAGGTGTTCAGGGAAGATAGGAAAGTAAGAAAAGAAGGAAGTGCGTCAGTATTGGTTGTAAGAAGGATATTGTGAAGCTGGAGAAAGAGAAGCAGAAAATATGCAATTACGGGCTCAGTGTAGCCTATAGGTCACCAACTCGTGGGAAACATGCAGAGAAATGAATCTGCAAGGAAATTACTGAGAAGTACATACTTATAGGGTAGATAAAATAGGCACTTTAATTATCTTCAGTGTAGACAGGGATAGTGTTAGTGTAAACAGAAGTGAGGGGCAAGCGTTCCTAGATTGTGTGTTCAGGAGAATCTCCTACAGCAATACGCACCAGTTCAATAAGAGAGGAGGCATTGCTAGAGCTGATTCTTGGAAATGAGGTTGAGCAGGTAGATCAAGGGTCAATGAATGAACATATTGGGGATTGTGTTCATTGTATTTCATGGGATAGAATGACATGGAAAATAACAACGAAGAGAAACTGGCAACTAATCTAAAAGGGATCCTAAAATCTTTTATTGACACATTAATAATAAAAATATGGTAAATAGATTGGGGCTGATTAGGGACCATAAACAGAAATCATACATGGAGGCATGCTAAGGTGTTAAATAAATATTTTGTATCTGTTTTTACCAATGAAACTAATTCCTTCCAAGCCATAGTGACAGAGGAGGAAATTAATTCACCAGAAGGATTCCAAATTGATAAGGAGTTGATATCGGGTAGTCTGTTACTTTTTAAAGTTAATAAAGCATCAGGACTAGATGAGATGCTTCCAAAGATACTGAAGGAAATAGGCATAGAAATTGTTGAGGCACTGACTATAATTTTTCAGTCTTCCTTAGACGTGGGGTGTGGTGCCAGGGGACTGGAGAGTTGTATGTGTTATGCCTTTGTTCGAAATAGTTTCTATATTTCCACCAGAATCTGGGAGAAAACATTCTTTCTCAGATCTCCTCTAAACCACTTACTCCTCACCTTAAACTTATGATTGATTGATTGATTTATTGTCATGTGTACTGAAAAGCAGTGAAAAGCTTTGTTTACGAGTGGTATAGGCAGATCACAGCAAGCAAAGGGCGTACATATCAAAAAGACTTAGAGGCGTACAGGTTACATTGCAGGTTACATTATTTGAGGCTACAGTCCATTCAACAGTCTGATAATGGCTGGAAAGAAGCTGTTCTTGAACCTGCCTGTGTGTGTGTTCAGGCTTCGGTATCTTTTGCCTGAAGGAAGAGGTTGAAGGAGATCATTATCAGCGCACGATGGGTCTTTGATGATGTTGGCTGGTTTTCCATGCAGTGAGCCGTGTAAATAGAGTCCATGGAAGGTTGGCTTCTGTGATGGTCTGGGCTGTGCACACCACCTTCTGTAGTTTCTTACAGTCCTGGGCAGAGCAGTTGCTATAACAGACCATTATGCACCCAGACAATATGCTCTCAATGGTGCATCTGTGAAAGTTGGTGAGGGACCTTACAGACATGCCAAATTTCCTGAGCTGCCTGAGGAAGAAGAGACGTTGTTGTGTCTTCTTGACTGATGACCAGGACAGGTCATCAGTTATCGTTACTCCGAGGAACTTGATGCTGTTCACTCTCTCAACCTCAGTTCCGTTGATGTAGATGGGGGGGCGTTCTCCTCCTTTCTTTCTGAAGCTGATGATCAGTTTCTTTAGTTTTGCCGATGTTGAGAGACAGATTGTTTTCCTTGCACCATGTCACCAAGCCCACTATCTCCCTTCTGTATATTGACTCGTTGTTGTTAAATATCCGTCCCACTAGTGGTGTCTTCAGCGAACTTGTAGGTAGTATTTGTCTGGAATTTGGCAACACAGTCGTAGGTTACAGGGAGTACAGTAGGAGGCTGAGGTCGCATCCTTTGGGGGGCTCCAGTGTTGAGTATTATTGTGGAGGAGGTGCAGTTACCTATCCTCACTGATTGCGGTCTGTGGGTCAGAATGATGAGGATCCAGTTGCAGAGGGTGGAGCTGAGACCAAGGCCACGCAGTTTTGAGACCAGTCTGGAGGGATATTTGAAGGTGAAGGTGTAGTCAGTGAGCAGGAGCCTGACATTGGTGTCTTTGTTGTCCAGATGTTCCAGGGATCAGTGCAGGGCTAGGGATATGGCATCTTCTGTAGGCCGTTGTTATGTTGGTAGGCAAACTGTAGGGAGTCGAGGCAGGTTGGGAGACTGGAGTTGATGTGGGCCATGACCAGCCTCTCGAAGCACTTAATGATGATTGAAGTCAGAGCTATTGGGCAGTAGTCATTAAGGTGCACTGCATGTGTTTTCTTTGGTACGCGGATGATGGTGGTCTTCTTGAAGCAGGTGGGGACTTTGGCTTGTAGGAGGGAGAGGTTGAAAATGTCGGTGAATACCTCCACCAGTTGGTCCACACAGGATCTGAATGCTCGACCGGGGACACCGTCCGGGCCCGTTGCTTTCCTTGGGTTGACTCCCAGGAAGACTGATCTGACTTCTGAAGTGGTCACAGAGGGAACAGATGTGCCTGGGGCTGTCAGGGCAGGAATGACTGCGTCGC